AAAATAAGTAGAAGAAACCGGAAGTTCTATTATAATAGTTTTTTTTTCAAGCTCTTTTTGCCTGTGGAAATCACTTCCGGTATCTTGCTTCCATCCCAACTACAATCTTAAAAAAAATAAATGTAACATCACTGGCTATCTTCTGTCTTCCTGAAACCTGAACTTTTATTGTCCTTTCTTCTCACTAAAGTCTTCTCATTCTCTTTCACTTCCAATAAACCCTTTGCTTTTAGTGACACTATCACTTTCTATGATATATATATATATATATATATATATATATATATATATATATATATATATATATATATATAAGTGAACATTGAAGTCAACACTCAGAGGCGACAGGGTGTTTCTTGTTGGACGCAACCATTAGGCCTGCAACAACGATTGCAACAGTCTGTCGCCTCTGAGTGTTGACTTCAATGTTCAGTTTCATATTTTATTTGCTTACGTTCTATCTCTGATATTGAACACTTTATTCCATAAAGCACACTTTATTTCATAGCACACCTTAAAACTATATTTCTTTACACACACACACACACACACACACACATATATATATATTTATATATATATATATATATATATATATATATATATATATATATATATATATATAGTTAAATAATGAAAATCTTGGTAATCCGTATGGATAATCCCAAAGAGCATGAAATCCAGAGAGCTCAATGTTAAATCAGAGAGATTAATTCAATGAAAACAGACAACTTTAAGAATCCATTAGTTATAATTTATTTCTCCAGGAATTTCTTTTTTACCTGGCTCATCATACCCCACTTCCAAGGGTGAAAAAATTTAAATTTACATATGTTTTTTATACACTTTTGAGGGGTAGTATTAAGTAGTATTAAGTTGATGTAAGGTGATATATACAGAAGGGGGAGATGGTGACAAACATGGTCGAAATGAGAGAGGGGAAGGAAGAGATAGGAATGATTTTAAATTTATTTTTATCACAATACTTAATAGTGACGAAGGGGGGATAAGGACCAGACATTGATCTATTTAATCGGTCATCTCACAGGAAACGATATAGAGACAAAAAAGAGAAGTAAAGGTGTAAGAAATGCGATGGAATTAGGGTTTTAAGGTATTTATATATATTTAAAAATTATAACATAAATATGTTATAAAATCACTACAAAAATAGCCATTTTGTTTCAACACCTCCAGTGACATATCAAGTGATGATGCTGAATGTAGAACCTAGATTTTACATTCAACATCATCATTTGATAAGTCACTGGAGGTGTTGAAACAAAATGGCTATTTTTGTAGTGATTTTATAACATATTTATGTTATAATTTTTAAATAAATAATTATTACGTTGGTTTTTTAAGTAAGCAAACCCTCTGTTTACAAAGGGAAGGCCCACGGGATCTGATATACAAGGACTTTAGAACCTTGAGGGGAAATGTGGAGTGGGACCTAGATACTATTGGTTAGTTGGCTTTTCCTGGCTGCCGGATTCAAAATCCTGGAAGGGGAGGGTAGATGTTGCTTCATTCTCGAATCCAAATTTTAGTGCGGACCGTTTTTTGATTTTATCTAGTTCCCACTCCACATTTCACCTCAAGGTTCTAGAGTCTATGTATATCAGATCCCGTGGCCCTTCATATGTGAACAGAAGGAATGCTTACTGGGTTTGAATGTTATTGGACTCTAGTTTCTTGAAATTCACTTTTTTTTTGTTTCTTTTTCATTCCATTTCATTCGGTAATTATATTTACACGCTTTTATAAATTTTCTATTTCCAGAAAAATAAACTTGATAAGTCCTGGGGCGAAACCGTTCATTTCTTTTAAAAATGCCTTATAAAATTAGTCTTTTCCTAGCTATTAATATATATATATATATATATATATATATATATATATATATATAATATATATTATTTCAGAAATGTCCTAAAATATGTGCCCTTCGACAGGAATGGAACCTGTATTATACACGGAACTGTCGTATGGCTTGACGTGCTATAATATTTAACTACGGAGGAATGTGGTGTGTATATATGTGTGACGTGTGTCTGTGCGCCTTTAGTGGTGCGTATATATATATATATATATATATATATATATATATATATATATATATATATATATATATATATATATATATATATATATATATATATATATATATGTGACTTGTGATGTGTTGGGTTTGTTTGCATATATATTCCCAGAATGTTTGGCGTCGTTCAAGCTGAAAAGTAACTTTTAATAGCTTAGAATTGCTGTTAATGATATATTCGGCAAAATAAAAAAAAAATACGCCGTATTGAATTCCTCGTGAATAGCTATTCTTTATGCCTGAAATAAAATGGTTTTCTATTTCATTATAATCAGTCCTTACTTTAATTTCATTTACAAAAGAACATTATGAATTACATTATAAAATATTGATTGTGTTCCTGTTATATAACGACTCCAAGATTAACAATGCTTTTGGTTTATCCTGTAACGACATAAAAATACGTCATTTCAACTTTTGGACATAATGTAGTAAATTGAACATAAGTAAAACGGGATTCCTCGTGATGCTTTACAGCATCCCTTGGGTTTTATCGATGGACAAGGCAATTCTTTGGCGTATTGGAAACAAAAGCCTCCAAGAATCGAAAGGAAACACCAGTTGGTATGAGTGAAATTCTAGATATAATTACATCTTTTCTTTTTTTGTGCATCCACTGAGAACACTGGTCTTGATGCTTTATGGCTTTAAAAAAAATGTGCAATTGCATAGGCATGGCTGAGTCAGATTATGTAGCAATATTGTTGGAGAAGCTTCCTTTACTTCTCGTTTATATCGCGGTTTAAATATCCAAGTAGTTTTCAAAATGCTTATGCATTATGAATAACTTCTTTCAGTTTCACAAAAGTTTGTAGATATGACTTATTTTTACTTAGAATAATTGTGAGTTGATGTTTTTAGCTTTGTATTGTTTTCTTGAATAAAATTTCTATATTTCACTGTAACTTGCAATAAGTGTTGCATTCTTGAGATCAATTCATCTACTGGCTTGACATTTGTGCTCGCAGAAGCTGGATAGATATTTAAACAAAGACAGATGTTGGCAAGAAGATAGAAAAAAATTAAACATGTTAACATTAGAAAGGTTTAATTGTACTGAAATTATTAAAACATATTTGAGATTTGAAATTTAGAGTTAATTGTAAGAAAAAGAGTATAGAGTTTGTTTTTCAAAAATTGGCGAAAAATTCACCTGAGGCAGTTGCATTTAGTTTCGTATAAATACGTATGGAACGGCATGAATCAGTCTGTTCTTCCGCAGTGAAGAATAAAACCAAGGAAGACTGGATCTAACTAACGCCTTTATCCACTGTGCCATATGTCGTTCAGGACAATTGTGAGTTCAATACCTGGTTAAGGCGGTGGAGAACTTGGAGAGGGGAATTAACATGAGATAACTGATAACTGACATCCATTAGACATGGTACGTGGAACTAGAACAGTCTACCCCAGCGAGCGAAATAAAGGGTTCAGTTCGACATTCTAACCACCTGAAGAAGGCCGGAGCGTACAACGGCTGAAACGTTGTGATAAATAGGGCAACAAAGATGAGGATGATAGTCTGAGCAATGTAAATAGGATCTGTTGCTTCGTTAAGAGAGTATGAGCATTTTTAAGAAATTTGATAAATGCTTTGATTTCTCTTGAGAACCAAAATGTTTCTTAAAGCTAGCAATTGTAGACTCGGCAAACGAACTTGTTTTGTAAATACTGGCTCGATTTGTAAATTTTGTTCACGATGCTCCTTGTTTTTCATATGACGGGTGAGACCCTATAGGCTTTTGCAGGTTTTAATAACTTAGTGCAGGCTGCTTGTTTAGTTATTCCCATAATTGATGATAATTTGGCAAAGGTCTACGAATATGATTTTTATGATTAACGAGGCCTACATCCAATCGATAATCTGTGGTCAGTCTGCAAGGAACGACTGCGTGGAATGAACATGCGAAGTACTAACATGAGCACTGGGTCATGCTTCATTGGGAAAATACGAAAAAAAAGGAAATAATAACGGAATTATTCGTTTTGGATAAATTGGATAAGGGTTTATCAAGTGTTCCAAGATACAGGACGCAAAATGAATCTTTCCAAAACAGAAACTGTGATCTGGATTTGAAATAAAAGGAATCTACTCTGAAACAATGATAAAAAAAATCAGGATGTAGAATTATAAATAATAAATACTTCATATATCTCTGTGTATAGAACAATTATAACAAATTTAGTATAGGAGAAAAGGAAATTGAATATAGAATACGCTACGTTAGAAGTACTTTCCACCAGCAGTATATATTACGACAAAGCGAAAACAAAACTTAAAAACTCAAGTCATGTTGTTTAAATAGTCGGATTAGAGAATTCTATAGGGACATCATGAATGACAACAAATCCGCTCAGAAATGTCTAAACTGTTAACTGTATATTCTGAAGATTAATAGTTAAAAATCCCTTTGAACGTTTGAGGCCCGTCGAGCTTAGTGAAGACTACGCGTCTTCGAAACTTGTGAACTGGCGTTAGATAATCACAAAGAAAGGATTGTACTAGATAAAAAGCACAGTAATTGAGGAATTTCAATAGCAGAAACAACTATAATGGATTGCATATGTAACTCGAATGGAAAAAAAATGACATAACCAAGATATTGACGTTCCACACGCCTTCAACTAAAATGTTGGGAATGGAAACACCTGTCAATACTGAAAAGAGCAGCCACTAGACTTGAGAAACCTATTTTCGTGAAAAATTGTTTTAATAGAAAGATTTTATAAATTTCAACTGACAATTGTAGCTGCTTGGTCAATGAATGCCAAATATTTCCTTATAAGGAAAGGGCTAATATTACCATTAGTAATATAAGAAACTTCACCGAAATTCGAACAGTTTTGCCAATTTCTTGTTCTTTGTGCTGGCGACCGTTACACTAGTTTTCAGCTTAGTATGCAGAAGACAGTTGATCAATATACACATGCACCCCCACAAACTCTCTATCTATCTATCTATCTCTGTCGAGTGAGAGATTGAGAGAGAGAGAGAGAGATTGAGAGAGAGAGAAGAAATTGAGAGAGAGGGATGAATATTGATCAATTGATTTTTTGTGACTTCGTAGCAGTCAGAGTATAGATAGAAACAAAATAATATCAAAGAGAAGCAACTAGAAGAGAACATGAAAAACTAAAAAAAAAAAAACCTAAAAAAATCAATGGAAAATTATTTCCGGAAGATAGAACCTTTTATGACGAAGCGAATGAAGACGAGAGAAAGCAGAAATCACTGTCATATCGTCCGTAATGGCGTCCGGCCGGACGACAGAAACAATGGCGTCACAGACATCGTTAAATTAGAAAAAAGAAAAGATTTAAAAAGCGAAAAATAAAATAAAAAAAGTACAAAGTAGGAGGAAAGATTTCGTTGGTACGAGTTTCGGGATATGGACAGAGTGCAAAGCGAGAAGCAATGGTAATAATTCGATTTTTTTCTACAGTAATTTTTATTTTATTTTACTTTCTATGAATTTAAAATATTCTTCTCAAGTTTTTTTTTACTTTAATCTAAAACAAAAACGATGTCGCTTTTTATGATTTTTAGATGAATATATTTTTCGTTTTTAGATAAATTTCAAAAACGATTTTTCTTTTTAAAAGATGTTTTAATAAATGAATTTTCGAAAAGGAATTATCGTTGGCTTCAAATCTAGAACATTTTTTTTCTTTTTATAAACTCGCATAATTATCATCTCATTTTTTTTGTTTCCGTTTCCGCTTTTTCTTTGTGTCTCATGCATCGCGTTCTCGTTTTTTTTAATTTCTTTTATACTAAATTTCTTTTCGAATTTCTTTCTGATGCTCATCACTTTATTTATTCTTTTTCTTTTACTACAATCTTTTGTATAAACTTGTTTTGTATTCTTTTTTCTCTATTTATAATCTTCTTTTTCGTTCCTTTCTTTCTTGCTTTACCTGAATAGACTTCCTTCTCTTTTACTTCATTGTTCTTTCCTTTATTTGCGATGTCTTCTTTTTTTTTCTAATAGTCTGTGTCTTACCTTTTCTTTCTTCCTTCTTTCGTTTCGTTTCTTTCTTTCTTTTTCTTTCTTTCTTTCTTTCTTTCTTTCTTCACTTTCTTTTTTGTTTTGTTAATCTTTAACCGTTGCAACTGTTTTGCATTTTCTTCTCGTTTTTCTCATCTTTTTTCCCTTCCCTTTCTTTTTTGCTTTACTACTTACTTTCACTACTTCATTTCTCTCTTTCTTTTTTGTATTACTTTCAGCTATCATTCTTTATATATTCTTTAAAGCCTTTCTTTTTCATACTTTATTTAGCTGTTTTGTCCTCCTTTCTTTTTCACTTTCTTTGTCTTCATTTTCTCACTTATCAAATTTACTTCATTTATTCATTCATTTTCCTGTACCTGCCTTTTATTTCTTTTTCTTCTTTATCTCGATCTTCTTTCTTTCTTTCTTTCTTTCTTTCTTTCTTTCTTTCTTTATCTTCATTTTGTTTTCTCCTTGGTTTTTCATCCGATGCTTTCCAAACTTGCTATGTAAATTACACATGGCAAACAACCTGTCTTGCATGAATGTTCGCTTTAGACGATTTCAGTTAAGTGGACGAAATCTGTGACATACTAAGTCCAGAATCGGATTTTGCCATTTAACCAATAGTTTCTTCATATGATTCCATCCTAAATTTGGATTCGAACAACATTTGATGCAAACATTGTTTGAGAAGGATTATTAAAGAGTTAAAAGGGAAAATTGCCGAAGAACCTCTTTCTTTGTCTTTTTTCTCTCAATCATCAACTTTAATTCATTTATTTTTTCTTTCTACCGGTACCTGATTTTTACTAACTTTTCTTTTTTACCTCGATTTTCTTTCTTTCTTTCTTTCTTTCTTTCTTTCCCTTCATTTCATTTCTCGCATTCTTTCCTCTCTTCTTTCGTCTTTTTTTTCCTCGTCTTATTATTGGTCATCTCTTTTTTCTGTTTTCGCTAGTTTTGTGTGCTTACTGGTTTTCTTCCTATTACCCCAGCCATTTTATTCTTTCTTTCTTTCTTTCTTTCTTTCTTTCTTTCTTTCTTTTGTTCATCAGTTCACCTCCTCCTCTCCTTCTTTCTTAGATTTCCTCCTCATCCTCTTGCACTTATTTCCTTCCATTCTTTCTATTTGTCTTTTATTTTCTTTTCTGCTGAATATTTCATCATTTCTCTTTCTTTTTTACTTTTCATTCCCATAATTTTTTTCTTTCTTTCACTCGTTATTTCTTTTTCTCTCTCATTATTTCTTTCTCACTGGCTGTCCCATACATGTGGCCTTGTGCCAAAACACTGTCCTGGGTAAGACGATAAACTACATCCGACATCAAGACCTCTGATCTGGAGTCTTTGAGGTGCGTGAAACCACTTCTTCATTGCTGGTATTCCCAAGTTCACCCTAATCCAGATTGATAGCACCTCTTTGGACCCCAGATATATACGGGCAAATAGTAAATACTCAAAACGGAGTCAAAACACTATGTCAGAATAAAAATACATGTTATAATAAATATCTCCCGCAATAATGAAAAATAAAATTAAAAAACGCTCCCAAGGTAATTAAATTTCGACATTAAATGACCCATAAGGTGTTGATATCCGTTAAACAAAAGAAACAAAATTTTACAAAAATAAAAAAAAAGAATTAGGAAGTAAAAACTATTTTCTTTATTTTTGCCTTTTATTAAAAACCATTTATGTTTTTTAAATATTAGTGAATTTGCTAATATTTTCTTGTTATTCTCATTGTATATACACATCTAAAGACTATTTCTGACTCTATCGTTGTTGTTGTTGTTCTTCTTCTTCTTCTTCTTCTTCTTATTATTATTATTATTATTGTTTAATTTCCTTTGTTTTTTCTGCTGTATACTCATTTCTTTCCCGGTCTCGACCAGAGACCTAAGATCAGAAATGGCATCATGACATTTTTCACTGAGCAGTTTTGAAAAAAAAAGAAAAAATGTCGCACATATTTTACATAGATAAAGCCATTCGTAATGTGTGAGCTGTACTTGTGAGTACAATGCTTTGTATTACTTTAAGGCATGAACTACGAGGAACTCCTTCAATGAATCTCTTGGAATGTTTTCCAATCATTCCGAGGGCACCAACTACAAGTGAAATTATTATTATTATTATTATTATTATTATTATTTCTTTTGATTTCTGATGTATACAAATTTCCTTCCGAGGCCCAACTAGAGATGTAATATCAGAATAAGCTTCATGAGATTTTCCAATGCTCATTTTTGTAAAAAAAAAAAAACAAACAAAAAAACCCTTACGATCACGAATATTTTACATAGATAAAGCTCTTCGTAATGTTTAAGCTGTACTTGTGAGAACATTTTTTTTTAAAATGATGGTCTATCAGGTATCCCTTTAATGAGTCCATCGGAACATTTTACTATCGATTACAACTAGAATTATTGATGTCCTCATGTGCTGTACATTTAGATTTACACTTCAAATATTAATAGTTTTTTAGAAGATCTTCAAAGATACGTTACACTCTGCACGGAGTGCAATGTCAATAAGAATGCACATTCTGTTTTTGTGGTCTTTGATCGCAATGTCTGGCCGATTAGCTTTCATTGTTCTGTCTCTGTGTGTATTGTAAATTCTCATAAAATTATTACAGATTCTATCTTTTTAATCGGTTGATATTCATACCAGTTTCTTGCAGTTTCCTTCCCATAAAAAATTGCATATTTTCCAGTGCAGATATTAGCTCACTTATCATGTTGCGTGTTATATTCAGTGGCTACTAATAATGTGCAACTTAATACAAGATGGTCAATTGTTTCTGTTTATTTATCACTGAATCTGCATTTCGGTTTAACGCAATTCTTCAATATGTGTACTTGTTAATTTCTACTTAGTAAGCATTTGTACTGTGCAGCAAAAATAAAACCTTCGGTTTCAGCTTTTAACCCTGCATTACGTAACCACTGAGGGGTACGTGTTTTTGTCTACATCAGCTTGTTTGGCACGGGTAGTTCATTGACCATGAAGAGGTTTATCTTGTCATCGCTTTTGCATTTGGCATATTGTATTTAATTTTCTTTTTTAGGTTCTTTGCCGCTGTAGTGTGTGTATTATAATTTACTTGCACTTCTTCACCCACTTGAAATTGCTTTTTGAATTCGTTGGTTTCCTTTACTGAATAAAGTTTCTTATTTCTTTCATGTTCTTTGATACATATAATCATTCAGTCTTCTGTAGTATCCAGGTTTCATTGAAGAGCGATTGTTTTGGTTTCGTAAGACAGCTCATATTTGAACTAGTCCTCTGCCTCCCTGGGATCTTGACACGCATAGACGATCAACATCAGCCCTAGGGTAATGCATACAGTAGCAAATGAAAAGCTTTCTCGTTTTGACATCCATTCGCTTAATGTCAGCTATGGTCCAATAATTGTTGAAACTATATTGTACCACAAGGACAACCAAAGAATTTATGGTTGATATCGTTCTTTTTTATTCAACTCGGTATTTAAACCCAGGTGCACACGCCTTTTCTTACATTCTCCTTCATATCAGTATACAGTATGTCATCCCCTTCGATGACTCCTAGGAATTTATAAGCTTTTTGAACCAGTTCTTTTTGTGATAAATTAATCTTTGTGCTAAAATCTAAATCTATGGAGAGTATTTCTGTAATTCTCCATTTCTTGAATGCTACTTTTATCTAATCCGAAATTCATACCGATATCATCACTGAAACATTTTAAAGTATTGAGGATACCCCTCTTCTTGGGCAAATTGATTGATATCATCCATGTAGAAATACTGATTAAACATTTTCTTTTTTACTTTGTATTCATAGCTATTACTGTTTAGTTCCTTCGAAAGGGGGTTTAAGGACAGATGGAAAGGGTTATAGGGCGACTCCTTGAAAGATCCCCCTTAGATATTCAAACAATTTAGGGATAATGTCGTTTTCTATGATTACATTTTGCCATTTTTTACCTTCTACACATACACACACACACACACACAATATATATATATATATATATATATATATATATATATATATATAAAGTATGCTGTATTTATGGGTTAAAGTGCTCAATATCAGGGGTACAACGTATGCAAATATAAAATTGGACATTCTAGTTAACACCCAGTACCGAGTCTTTATCATGCTTAAACACTATATTCAGGGCTGAAGTTAATGTCCATATATATATATATATATATATATATATATATATACATGTATTGGATTTGTGTTCACGGAATAAAATTCCAATAACCAAAAACACTGTTCTTAAAAGAGTGCTCAATACAGAGTAGAGCAAATATTATGCTATAACATCATTACAGAAATAGCCATTTTGTTTTAATACTTCTGGCGTCGTCTCAAGTGATGGTGTTGAATGTAGAATAAAGAAGTTTAAAAGGTTCAAATTTTTGAATAAATATTATATATATATATATATATATATGTAATAATAATAATAATAATAATAATAATAATAATAATCTTATAAATAAAAGTAATTATACTCGTCCGGAAAAACCTTAGGTGTATTGACTTGTAAATGAACAAAACAATACACAAGGGAAAAAAAGGAATAAAAAAAGAAAGAACTAAGAACATGTAATTAAGGCGAAAACAATCGACCAGAATCCAAGCTCAGAGTCCAAAGAAAAAAACTCCGACACAAATAAATAAAAATAACTAAGCAAAGTGCTCACCACGCTAAGTAGAGCAAATCTAACTATGAACCTAAAGAGCCAGGCAAACCTACCTAGGTTTCACCTAAGTACCCTGACTATCCGCGTAGGTGAAACCTAGATAGTTATATAGTTTATATATATATATATATATATATATATATATATATATGACAAAATACCTTTCTAAAAACATAGGCCATTTTAAGCTATTGTACATTTCTATTAGTTGACATCCTATAAGTTGACGTTTTTATTATGCTGTTTATTTGATGAAACTTTGGCCATATTGAAATCATTTTCACACATCATTATATTTTACCAAGTGTTCTGAATGAGGAGAGATGATGCAAGACAAGAGTCAAAAACTTGGGAGGAGCATCTAATCATTTTTGTTTTGTCCTTTCTGTTACGCCATTAAAGGTCAAATATTTTTTCGAAATAAGATCGAATTTCCCTACATATATAGTAAATTCTGATATCAAATTCCGACATTATTTCATTAGTTGAAATCATAGGGAAATTTTCCTAATAAACCAGGATGAAGATAGTAAAGATGGCCAAGAATATGAATCCGTAGATAATCGTTAAAGATGTCGTAATTTCAGGAACCGGCATTGCAGAAATCCTCACAAAGTTTCAAAGCATTGGAATTGTTTTGAATCGACCAAACGATGGTCGCCTTCGATAACAGCATCATAGGATAAGACGGAAACTAATCAAGTCAGCAAAAAGTACAATGAAAGAAAACTGACAGACAAGGAATGGATGGTTGCAAATTATTCAATTTGGTATTAGTAGATAACACTAGGTAGATCTTTTATACTCATGGAGATTCTTTTAGACGACAAAAGACCCAGCTTTAAATAAAAAGCATTTAAAGGAAACATTAGGTTGGTCAAAGCGATACAAATGGTAGGCAGTAGATTTTGTGGATAAGATCACATTCAGTGATGAAAACAAATATGGGGCTGCATTCTAATAAGCGTGAAGAATTTTTCGGACAACAAAATAAAGACAGTGCCGTTTTAAGGTTAAGTTTCTGATGCTTAAGAGCTTCATAAAAAAAATTGTTCCATAAAATTGGTTAAAATCGATGATAGCTTGAATATATATATATATATATATATATATATATATATATATATATATATATATATATATATATAAAAGGAAGCGGTTATAGTAGTTCCAACGAAAGAAAAGTGTATATATTAAAAAGAAGAGTTCGAGAAAGACATTTGAATTACTAACACAAAAAAAAGAGAATGTCTTATATCGAGAATATTTAACATCGAAAAACATAAAGAAAAAAATTAATTATTTTTAATAATATGTGGAAATCTCCATCCTTTGCCTGATGACGGTTGCGAGACCGGAATATATATATATATATAT